GAATTTCGCCATTGGATCGTGTATGGAAGCTCGGTTCTCTTTGAACACTAGGTCTCCATCTTTCAAATTTCTGGCCTTCACTTTCTTTGGATTGGATAATCATATTGTCCACATAAAACCCAACTTCTTTGTGGATTATATCATGCAGTAGTGTAATAGCAGCCCTTTCAGAAGTTACCCTGGCATTTCTTCAATCCAAATGGCATAACCTTGTAGCAATATGTACCTCATGGTGTGGTAAAAGTTTTTTTTTTTCCCTCTCTGTTTTCTAGCTCTAGATTGTACCTTGAAAACCCATCTATGAATGACAGAAGTGCATGTCCTATTATAGAGTCTACTAACTCATCAATATACGGTAGTGAGTAACCCTTCGGAACTACTCGTTCAAATCCTAGAAAGTTAACACAAGCTTCGATTTTGCTTTCTTTCTTAGGGAGTGAAACTGTGTTAGCTAACCATGTTAGATATTCTGACACTATCAAGAAACTGGCATTGATTTGTTTAGTTACCTCATCGTGAAGTTGAGATTTTCAACTTTAATAATTTCGGACTTATTTATTTGATATGACCTATTTCAATAAACAAACTCAAATGTAAGTATAAACTTGAGACTCACAAAATAATTTTAAAAAATTCGAATAAATATTTTAGTTTCCTTTAATTTGGGTAAAAGTTTAAATATAGTCAATTTAATATAAATTTGAGTAAAAAAATAAAAATTATTTTGTAGTAATTTGAGTTGAGAATTAAAAATGCCCTACTCATGCCGCGAAAGATCTTAACTTTCTTTTATGGATAAATCACACTTTTGACTTATATAATTTGATCAAATTTTTACTATAGTACCTATTATTTCAAATTGAATAGTTTGATTCCTACCTTTTAAATTTAATTTAAATTTGATTATTCCATTTAAGTTGAAGGTTAAAATTAATGATTTTAAAACATTTTTAATTTGTTAATGTTATGTTAGGATCATGGATTTGAAAAAGAAAAACAAAAAATGAAATGGAGAAAATGACCCAAATATAGCCTAAGGTGCACACATAAAAATTTTTAACAGAAATTAGGAATGAAAGATTGAAACTAAATTTAAAATATAGAAATTAAATTATTCAAATTGAAACAATAGAGATCTAAAATAAATTTAAGTCAACATATAAGAATGAAAAGTAAAAAGTTATTTACACTAAAACATTCTTAACTATTAGCAAATATTATTTTACCTTTCTTATCTATAAAGTCGTATATTTTGATATCCTTAATTATAAAAATAAAAAATAAAAATGCACTATAATTTTCACTAATTATAGACATGCTTCAAAAGTAATATATTTGTACAATTTTTATAATTAAGAAGATAATATATACAAATTTATAGATAAGAATGATAAAATAATATTTATTTATTTATTTTTGGGTATTATTTATCAATAATTAAAAGGGTCATAGTATGAGGCCTTGTTTGTGAACAAGCTATTTTACTATTTTTTTTTTTTGACTAAAATATGAAGTAAAAAAATGTGTAAAAAGTTGAAAAGATGCGCAAAAAGTTTTTAGTCAAATTTTTTTTTTGACTAAGCTATTTTACTAATTTACTAATTTGACTTTTTGCAAAGATGTGCAAAAAGTTAAAAGTTAAAAAATTTTCATGCAAAAAGTTTTGAGGAAAATTTTTAATTTTTTATGAAAAAATATGTAAAAAATTGAGAGAAAAAGTAATCTTTTAACTTTTTAATATAATTTGTTAATTTTTTAATTTTTTTAATAATTTTTTAACTTTTAGATTAAAAAGTGATTTTGTAAAAAAAACTTTTCTGTGTGTTTGGTAACGTTTACGTTTTCAGTTTATATTTATCAAAATTTTATAAATTGGTTTTTGTTTATTTTTAGAAAAACATAAATTACAAACGCATTTGGTAATTGACAAAATGTTAAAAAAATTTTAAAATATAAAAAAGAGTGAGAAATGGCAAGTGATGGCGGAAGACGGTGGTGGAAAGTGGTGACGGTGGGTGGTGGGTAGCTGGTGGCGGGTGAGTGGGTGGTGGTGGGTGGATGGGTGACGGTGACGGGTGGTAGGTGGTAGCGAATAGGTGGTGGTGGTGGTGGTGGTGGTGGCGGGTGGGGGGGGGGGGGCTGGTGGTTAGTGGCTGGATGTGCATTATCTTTAGCTCCTCGTTCTTATCTGTTTCAGCCAAAATAGAATTCCTCATTTTCATATAAGGCTCATTGTTTATGCTATTGGTAAGGTTGTCACCCATGAGAAATTATGTGGATATGTTTAAAATAGCATCCCCTTATGGTCCTCAGTTCTTATAGCTATTGAATTCAACAAGTTGGAAGTATTTTGATGGTAGCTTTTCTCTGGTGTAAGATAATTGAAAATCTAAGAAGACAAAGGGAGAGAACTTTGGCTATTTTTCAATATAATCTTTCCAATTACTCTCTCTCTCTCTCTCTCTCTCTCTCTCTCTCTCTCTCTCTGTGGTTATAATTTTTGAATACTTTGACATGAAATTATCATTTATACTAATCTTGTAAATTTGGTGAAATTAGCTACTTAAAGGTCTTGATTTTTCTGCTTGATGCTTTGTTATTTTTGGACACTTATGTGCTAATATGTTGCTCCTTGTTAACAATTCTTGAATTATTTTATTTATTTTTTTTTTTTCCAATAGTGTCTGCATTTTCAAGTGATGTATATGTAGTGCAAGTAATGGATATCATTTTTCCTTAAACATGTGTATATATCATTCATCAAGGCTTCTGGATACAAATTTTTTTTTATTTTTTTATTTTTTTATTTTTACCTTCAATTTACCTTCAATATTTTTCAATATTAAAATCCTAAATGCGACAATCTATATTTTTCACCTATAAAATCGTAAATCCGAGACTCATATAGAAGAAGCTCTAGCCGCATCCGTAAAGAGAACCAACTCAGTTGGTGCGATCAGCAAAAAGTATAGGAGCAGTCACCAAGACCTGAATCATTTTCAGTCACCAAACCACTCTCTATTCTCTTTGTTAACAGGCAAGGATAAAAAAATTTCTATGCTCATGTTCTTTGAAGAATCTTGTTTCCAGTTTTTTTTTAAAAGTATTTATTTATTTGCTATCATTTTATAGATTGCGATGGGATCCTTTACCGCATGGGTTGAGTTCGTCCGATGTACGTCTGTTTGAATTAAAAGTTTTGCTGGAAATGGATTTTTTGATAAAAATATAATTAGTCCCATGGGTTACCAATGGAGGGATAGTGTACAATCTAGAAATTTACTAATGGGTTTTAGGTTCTTACAAGTTAAAAAGTTGATTTCATATAAAAAAAAAAAAAAAGCTTTTCATTGAGAGAAGTATACCTGACATGAATATCCAGCAAAAACTTAGTGGGTGTTTGGGAAGGCGATTTTTGTGTAATTTTTTTTAGTTGTAAGATATTATTGGAGAAATTTTTTTTTGTGTTTAGGAAGATAGTTGATTTTTTTTGTGGTTTGATGTGATGTTTGTGAGAGAAAAAGTGAAATAATTATGAGGTTGGATATGATATTTTGTTTGTATGTGTTTTTTTTTATTTTGTAAAATATTTGTCTTTTTGTGAAAAAATCAAAAAAAACGCAAGTTCAAGACTTTCCAAACATATAAAATATTAAAATATAAAAAGAAACTTAACGTGCGATGTAAAAAAGAAACTTTAAAATTTAAAATATACACACTTTAATAATATAATAAAAAATATATTAAAATTTGTAAAACATTACTTTATATAAATAAAGTAATTATTTATAGGCCATGGCTTCTCTCTAGAGTGTATTGGAGGGGGTAGTTGGAGGATTGCTTTTTTCTACTCTGATGCTCTGAGGCTTGATCTGGACTGTTGATCGTGATATGGACTCCAGGCTTGTTGCTATGGAATGAAATTTTGTAATTCCACATATGGTACATGTGTCATTTCGCTCAGTATTAGATCCTGTTGAGGTAGCTTCTTGAATAATCTCCATTTAATGTTCATGTCAAGTCTCTGTTGAACATTGATTTTTACCCTTCTAATGTCCCTTGAGGCTACTTCAACTCTTTAGGTGACTACTGTGATGAAACCTCTTTTAATCAATTCTATATTGAAAGCCTTCCTTAGGCCTCGTTTGGGAACATGCTAATTTAGTAACTTTTTGGTTATTTGGCTAAAATATGAGTTAAAAAAATTAGTATGTTTGGGATGATTTTTTGACTTTTTATGAAAACATGTGCAAAAAGTAGAGAGAAAAGAGAATCTTTGACTTTTTGGTATGAGTTGTTGATTTTTTGGCTAATTTAGTAACTTTTTTACTTTTTAATTAAAAGTGAGGGTTCCCAAACGAGGCCTAAGCTATTTTACTAATTTACTAATTTGACTTTTTGCAAAAATGTGCAAAAAGTTAAAAGTTAAAAATTTTCATGCAAAAAGTTTTGAGGAAAATTTTTAATTTTTTATGAAAAAATATGTAAAAAATTGAGAGAAAATAAAATCTTTTAATTTTTTAATATAATTTGTTAATTTTTTTATTTTTTTAATAATTTTTTAATTTTTAGATTAAAAAGTAATTTTGTGAAACAAAACCTTTTCTAATTTACCTTTTTTGTTTTTTAAATCCTAAATCGGAGATTCTTGTTTTGTAATTTACCTTTTTTTTTTTTTTTTTTTTTTTTTTTCACCAATAAAATCCTAAATCAGAGACACAAGAAGCCCTAGCCGCATCCATTGAGAGAACCAACTCAGTCGGTGCGATCGGCGAAAAGTAGAGAAGCAGTCACCATGACTTGATTTCATATAAAAAAAAAAGCTTTTCATTGAGAGAAGTATACCTACATGAATATCCAGCAAAAACTTAGTGGGTGTTTGGGAAGGCTTAGTGGTGTTTGGGAAGGCGATTTTTATGTAGGTTTTTTTTAGTTGTAGGATGTTATTGGAGAAATTTTTTTTTGTGTTTAAGAAAATAGTTGATTTTTTTGTGGTTTGATGTGATGTTTGTGAGAGAAAAAGTGAAATAATTATGAGGTTGGATCTGATATTTTGTTGTATTCGTTTTTTTGATTTTGTAAAATTTTTGCGTTGTAGTGGAAAAAATAAAAAATAAATGCCAAATCCAAGTTATTTTCTTGGTTTATTTGTGTTTATTCTTCTAGAAATTTACCCAAGTCAGAAAGTTAATTAAATATTTTTCTGGGAAAACAAGCAAACCTGACACGAATATCTAGCAAAAACATAATTTAGAGTTTGATAAAACATCTTTTTGTATGTTGGTGTGTTTGTGTTAATTCTTCTAGATATTTTAACAATTGGTTTTTACTCTTTCCAAGTTAGAAATTTAATTTCATATTATAATGCTTTTCATGGAAACAAGTAGACATAAATATCCAACAAAAACATAATTTAGAGATTGATTTTGCATGTTGGTGTGTTTGTTTTAATTCTGATTCGCAAGTGGTCGACTGATAGGTTGATGTAACTTGGGGTCCTTGTATATACACAGAGACTAGAGCAATTTGGTCACCTGGTTAAGCCACTCTTCATCTAATCGGTTATCATTTCAAAGGTTTGGGAGACTCAACTGGGATGAGAGACATGCCCCCTCAATCTCCGGGTAATGTTTCTATTTCATTGTCATTGTTGGTCATGTTTTTCTTCTTATGGGTGTACATTCTTCTCTTTGGTTTATCTTGGTCTAGATTTAAGTTCACTATTTGCTGTACTCTTTTTTGTGGTTTCGAATTGTAAATGGTTTCCAACACTTGAAAACAATTGTAAATGCTTTTATAATTGTTTGGAATAATATAGGTTTACTTGGAAGTTGGAAGTTTTGATGGCATGAGTGGAGTCGGAAAAAGAAACTAAGGTATCCTTTGCACCTCATTATGTTGTGTGTGTACTTTACTTATTCAATTGATTTTTTTTATTTTCGTTTTAATTTTTCAATCAATAGTTTATGTACTCTTGTAATAATGTTGCATATTTTACTTAGTATTTTGATGAAACATTTTTCTTGGGGATAATTAAAATCCTTTTAATTGATTGTTTAACTCATGTATTGGTTCTGTTGATATTTTGTTTTGCTTTTGGTTGTTTTGGCAAGTAACCTTGGTTGTAAACAACATATGTGATTGGTTGTAAAAGAAAGTAATGAGATTTATACATCCAATGATGTTTAGACATGTATGCTTTTAGTAAGATTGTTAGTAAGAGGTTAAGTAGATGTAGCGTTGTTCTTAAAACTCTCAAATTAATTATAACATGTATATGACATGGGTAATTATAACATGTTTTGTTATGGAAAAAAATGACTTTTTAACAAATAAATAATTTTGGGGCAATTACTGGCCAGTCGAGGCTGTAAGAATGTTACAAATCAGTGGAAAGTATGAAATTTACAAAAGCATTGGATAGTGGAAACTTTATTACCATATGGGAATCTGATCTTGATAGTAAAACGACATTGGCCTCGTTTGGGAAGTTGGCTATTTTAGTAGGCTAAAATATTTGTATTTGGGAAGAAAATTGGATTTTTTTGTAGTTGAATGTGATATTTGTAAGAGAAAAAGTGAAATGATTATGGGTTTGATGTGACAGTTTGTCTTATTGGCTATTTTAGTCTATTTTGTCTTTTTATGAATTTTAGCCCCAAAAAAGCCAAACCTTGGCTTCCCAAACAGGGTCATTGTTTTCCTCTCTTCTTACCTTGCCCAAACCCAGCCACCCATTTCACTATTTCTCTCTCTCTCTCTCTCTCTGCATTATACACCAGTCTCTGATTGAGGCCGAATTGTATATCATTGAGGTCGGTAATTGAGATTTCTTAACTCTATTCTTGATTCAATTTTGTACATTTTACTAGTGTTTAATGTCAATCAGGCTGGATGCATTTGAAGTACAAAATGACCAAACAAATGTAATTTTAATTGAAAAGTCATTCCTGCACGTGCAGAGGGTTATTCTCGCACGTGCGGCTTCTCTTCTTGAAGTTCAAAGCATTCTGAAAAATCCGCATGTGCAGAGGGTTTTTCCCGCACATGCGGTGACATTTCTCGCATGTGCGAACGTGCGGCCTGACCTTATTTTGCTCCGCACGTGTGGTGACATTCCTGCATGTGCAGGCTGACCTCATTTTGCATGCTTGACGTTCTAAATCTGTTTTGAGGCCTGTAAGGTATAAAAGAAAGAAAGACCTGAAAATTGGTTTTAACCTTGTGCATTTCTTGCATTTGATACATACTAGAGACCGGTTAAATGATGAACCATTTGCTTGTCATCTCAAGCTTCTCAAGTTTATTATGTGGGAGATGTAAGACATGAAAATTGGCTGGTAGTTGTTAAAACAAAAGCGAGGGATGTGTTTGATGTTGGTACTAGTGAATTGTGTGATGATGTTGACACTTATTATGATAACGAGTCATATAATATGAGAGTTGAAGGCACTCAGGTGGATGCGAATGAAAGCCTCATTTGGGCTAGAAATGATGCAGATGGAACCACCAATCAATATATCACTTCCACTTGATAACCAATTGATCGATGAAGATGATTTAGATGAGGATGTCTAGTTGTTGAGTTGAACTAGTTTGATTCTAATTTATTTATTGTGACGTAATTCTCAAAACATTATTTCATTTTGAATATAAATTTCAAATTTCTTAGTTTCATATATGTATGTCAACCCATGTTTTGCATTTGAATGTCTATATTAATGATAGTCCTCCTGTAACTACAATTATTTATGGATATATATAGCATTGCCCCTTTTCCTTAGGGGCGCCCTATATATATATATATATATTATTAGTATAGTGCAGTGGCTGAATAAGTGCCCCAACTTTTCTCTATGAATAAACTGCCCCAACTTTTCCAAACAGAGGAATGTGAAATCCAGTTAAAAAGACATTAGGATAGTGAGGAATGTGGGAGCAGAAGAGAGGGGGTGGAGGGTGGGTGAGAGAACATGGGAGCTTCTGGTTGGAAACTGTGCTAACAAAAAAGTGGACTATCATTTTTCTTTTACCTAACAAAAAAGTGAGTTAACATGTCTCACTAATACTACTATTACATCATTTGGATAATAAATTATGTGTAAAATTTTTATAAAAATAAATGATATATATAATAATAATTGGAGTAGAGGCAAGACATAGGAGGAGATAGTTAGGATTATAAGATATGAAATATAAGTACATCTTGGAAGCCTGTTTACATACCAATAGACCCACATGAAGCAACCAGAAAAGCAATTGATTTTTATTTTTGTTGTCTCAAAAGACCCCTCTATTTTGATGACTAGAATCCACTTTAATTAGATTGGCCAAGCCACACAGGTGAATTGTATACTTCAAAAGGACTGTTTGGTCCACAGGAAAGTGATTACTGATTAAAGTTTTTGGCTCGCCCTTGTTATGGACCAGACAATCCATAGGGAAAAGTTATGAAGATATTGGGAAAAGTTACACCTTGTTCCTGTAACTGATCATAGGTGTTTTTCTATTATATACTGTATGCTGCATTGCATTGACAAATACAAATTTTCATCTCAATCCATGAAAATTTGGGGTTGATTGAGGCCGATTCGTATATCATTGAGGCCGAAAACTAAGATTTCTTAACCTTATTCTTTATTCACTTTGTACATTTTACTCCTGCTTAATGTCAATTAGGTTGGATGCGATTAAAGCAGAAAATGAGCAAAAACATGAAATTTGAGCTGAAAAACATTTCCTGCACGTGCGGATGGCCATTCCCGCACTTGCGGCCCACCTCCTTGAAGCCTAAAGTCCACTGGGAAAATCGTACATACGGAGGGTTTTTCCCATACGTGTGGGACCCTTGCCGCAAGTGCGGTGGCATTGTCCGCACGCGTGGCCATACCTCGATTTGTGTGTCTGACGTTTTAAACGCGTTTTGAAAAGCTGGGAAGTATAAAAGGAAGGAGAAAAGGCTGAAATAGGGTTCTAATTTTTTTCCAAAGGAAAGGAGAGGCTAGGTTTTGGAGAGAAGGTTTTTCAAGATTCAAGCATGTCTCCCATGGTGGTTTTTTCTCCCTTTACCTCTTTCCACTCCTCTATGAGTGGCTAGTTCTCCTCTTTCTAGGATTTTGATGAAACCTTAGCCAAGTAAATAGGGTTTTTCTTTGGTTTTTGATTGTTGCAATAGTTTGAACAAGTTGTATGGTGTTTTAGAAGTTTTTAAATATATCAAGTATTCTACTTTCTATAATTGTTGAATGCTTTCCATGCAATAGATTTCTTTTTTTTCATATTCAAAGTATGTGACTAGCCATGCTACCAGAGACTAGTCGTGTTGCTACCCTAGTTTAGAGCAAACAACTCGTGTTACTTGAGATGGTTCGTGCCCGTACATTGAACGCGATAATCTTCTCGATCAATGCTTCAAACTTATAGTTGTGAAGTATTAGATGGTTCGAACCATAGCAAAACTGATTTCCAATTTGAAACCTTATTTACATAACTAGTGATAAATTCATTAGCCTAGGTTTTTCCCAAAAATTAGTATCTCAAACTTCATTTTTAATTGCCAATTCAAGTTCTTAGTTTTATTTTAAGGGAAAACTATTTATAAGTCCAATTGGGAGACTTATGCTACATATGGTGTTAGAAAAAAAAACTTATGTTCCCATAAGTCTTGTGGGAAGCTTGTTGATACATTTACTCACAATATTATTTGTTAACATAATAAATAATGGCAAAACCATATATAGAAAATTGAATGTTACCATAAATTATGATCATATCTATATGGATGTGAATTTGAATTTTAAAATTCACGTTATGTTTGGTGATTACAGCTTTGATTAGGCTATTTGTTAGGAAACAAAATATATGAAATATGTTGTCTCACTAGGCTAATGAAAAGGGTAGCTTCATTACACAAAATTTGGAAGGCCACCGCTGAGAGAAAACGGCAGTGCGATTCGACTGCAAGGTGTGATGGAACAGTGGGCTCTGAATTGCATCTCCAGTGAACCGACGACGATTGATGACCTCCAAACGTGGCTTTTCCCCTATTTTGCAATGTTGATTCCTTTGATTTTGGTTAGCAACCCATAACTAGGGTTTATGTGAATATAGGATTGTTGATATTTTCGGTTTGTATTGGTCAAAAGCTATAACGTGAGTTGTATATTTTGTGTGTTTTACGACTATTTCAGGTTTTGATAGTTTTGGGTTTGAAGTTGTCAGTATATGTGTGGGTTGTCGATTTGGTGTGTTTTGTGAGTTATTTGTTGGTCTTTTCGGATGGGGGTTAGGTGAGTTGTCGATTTTGTATGTTTTGTGTGTGATTTGTTGATGTGTTCTCGAATATGGGGTTTATTTCGTGATGTTTTGGTTTGAATGGATCTCTGTAACATGGTGGGTATGACGTGGTTATTTCTTGCCCATGCAAACGATGGTGGTTGATTGCCTGATTTTTTGGGGGTCCATGTTGTGCTACGATGTCGTTTGGTTGTTTGCATTTTGTAACAAAAGTAAGTTGTCGAATGTGACTGGTACCACGTCCCTGCTTTATGTAGTTTAAGATTTCTGAATGTGAATGTTAATTTTTGAGACTGTTAATTGTCACAATGAGTTGAATAATACAACTAAAACAACTTTGGGTTGTGGTTGTGATTTCACTCCCCATTTTATGTTGTCACATTCATGTTCATAGTGTGTTATACGTAATCTTCATGTAGCACATTCTCATTTATATCGGGTTCGTAGCCTTTTTAACTCAAGTTATTAAGTACGTTGGGGTATCTTCACACCTAGTACCCTAAAACCACTTGGTTTGGGAGTTATTAGCCTAACACTTGCTACACGGGTTAATTAGAAAGCTCGAGGGACCGAGACATTG